AGGCGAGCGACCACCTGTGCTGCCTCCTCCACCGCCGCCAGTAGAGCTGGACTTCAGAAGGGAGATTTGTTGAGCCAGACGAAGGCCTTCCTCGGCCGCCAACCTGGCTCTGTGCAACAGAAATGACGCGCCCAGAAGCGTCTGCAGGGCCAGATAGCGCGCCCAAGCGACTGCCTGATTGGTTAGCCCATGAGCAGCCAGGGCTTGGCACTTAGCAAAGTCAGCCTGAAACAATAACCGGAAGAAGGTTAGTGTGAAGAGTTTAAAAGACGCATACATTCCACTGTCTGAAAAATTTGACAATATGAAAAGCACAAAATGACCATACAAGTTTAAAGCAGTCAAAAGGGAGCGAATGCAAGTCAGGAAATAACGCGCACTTCCGACCCATCGTTGACGAAGACAGCGTCCAATGAGGATATTTGCATGTGTCTCTCATGAGTCTTACGCCCATTTAATAGGAGCATGAATTTACGAAAAGCTGTGCAATCCGGCTTCAAGGAAGGATTTGTAAACTCCGCGGCATTTCTTCACTAACGGGGGAGGGGGGAAGCTTTAGCAAAGTTTTTTCGCATTGGTTTAAGGTTTTGCGCAATGGTTTGCATGCTACGCTAGGCTAGGCTTAAACTAACTGTGAAAAATCCGCAGCCTCGGCAAGGTTCGAACCCACTGCATGGAAGGCTTGAGTACAGCCAACACTGTCCACTGAGCTACGAGGCTCACCGGAGGCCGTGCATTTAATCACACTTGAGTCAATTTATCCGCAGTTTAGTAAGTATTTAGGGATGAAGACGGTTATAGGGCAAGGTCGTAATGCGGATGCATGAGCTGCTCACAAGCGGCCTGCATCAAAGGTGCGCTATCCGAGAAAGGGAGCCGGACCGACTAATTCCACGCTCGCATGATAGTTAGGAGCCAACCTAACTCACTCGCTTGCACGCTGCTCTGGCGAGTCGCTCCCACGCCAGGCTACCGATCCGCCCACATGCAGTACATGTGATGATGAGGCGCAAGCTGCGGCCAGTCGACTGCAGACTCTATACGTCAGTCAGCTGAAGCGGAGAGCCAATCGAGTCGCTATTCGCTCGAGGACAATATCTGACTGGTTCGATCTTGTGTATGTTCGTGACGCTTTGCTTGCCGTAAATACGTTGTACTAAGAACGTTTGTAGACTTCCATTCTTGCGCACTCCCTGTTGTGTTCTCCTTGGGAAATTATAACGAGGCGTAACTGGACGGCGAACATCTAGGCTTGTGGCAAGATTATAACAATGACCAGCTGAGAACGGTCAAAGGGGAGAGTCAACTGTCTCATATTCTCACCTCCCCAAATAATTTGCACTCGTTTGAGATCCTTGCTTTATGCACTCGCTGTCTCTCTCTTTGACTGCAAAGGGTAAAACCAGCAGTAGACAAACATCCTTGAATGTGCCGGTTAATTGGCGAGCGGGCATTAAAGTGCTTTGCTCTGCTTAGCATAACTGGTTGACTGAGCCTAAAATAGCCCAACACCAGTTTCTTTTGCTGGAAATGCGGGATTACTGAGGCAACACTTGTGTTATTCTGAGCTTTCTGACTCGCATAGGAGGTCATCATCAGACAAAATGAGAGTACAGTAAGAATTGTGCTGTTTTTGTAGTCCAGCTACGAGCAAATGAGGGAAGGGGAGGGGGCGGCATTCGTGATTGGATGGGTCCACGCTTACGTCCCCTCACCGTATCGTCGTGCGTCATTGGCGTTGTGGAGTGCGTCCCTGGACCTGAACTGGGCCGTGCTTTTTGGTCGCACGAACGGAGGGCGAAGTAACAAGGTGGCATATCCATGTACCTGTTGGTACAGTTGAAGTATGAGACGCAGGCCGCCAGTAATTCACGCTCCGTCTTGTTATTGGCTCGTGCCATTAGCCGCGTGCCCGAGGAGCTGAATTCGTGATCTCCCAGAGTCTAAGTAGCGATCCGGGACAGTGAGTCGCCTCTCCGAACTGCCCGTTTGTGCTCCGTTATTCGCAAGCTATGCCGTTGCCCAGTGTGTCCTGTACAATGGCAAGAACAGTCGCGACATGGCACTTGATAAACTACGCCACACTGCTCGCCTACCTCTAGTCAGTCATTTATTTGCATGATCCAATAAAGCATGGTAGCTGTCAGGCGATGAGCAATGCCTACGCTGTGCTCTGCAGCGATACGTTCTGTTGCTTCTGACACATTCTTTATGCACTGCAGAGGGTATTATAGTGTTGGTGACTCCCCTCCATTTGTCGCCCGTAAGCATGTACGGGGCAGCGGCTGACGAAGTTGTTCTGGTATAAATTCCTTGCCAGTTGAACCCGAAGCTGCCGTAGTTCTCGCACTCGTCCCTCTGGTTCACTGCAATATGAACCTTCTGTACTTGATACCTTTGGCGGTGCGATGGACTGTAAGAGAACTCGGGACGGGAACTACGAGGTAACAGGAAAGGTCCGTATTTTGCTCTACAGAGCACACTGATCAATGTGGCGCCCAAACAACCTTAAATATCCGGCCACAGCTGACAGAAAGACTAGGCCAAGGGCCCCAATGTATAAGAATTTGGACACGGCCGGAGATACGGCTAAGCCCAATCACCTGTCAAAGCCGACTCATACAAAGGCCACTCCAGACGCTGTGGCGAATCTTGCCGTCATCTCACTCCAGACGTAGCGCTTTATCCGGTGGTTGCTCGCTCTTCTGAAAATCAAATTCCTCTTACATATTCTTTATTCTTTCCATACAGAATAAATTGTTCCTAGCACTGTGACCTGCCATGACGTCCTATACTTCTCAGGAACCAGGCCTGAAGGTCGCAGCTGCTAGGGTTTAACTTATAAGGTAAATAAAATGTTAGGATTGAAGTGGAAAATTGAACGCAAAAATTAAAAACGTCCATCCTCGGTCAGATTCGCTGTAGAGTGCGAAACCTTAAAGGTGCCAGGAAACCGAGGTGGTAGACGAGCTTCTCTCTCCCCCCCCTCAGATTACAATGAGCCGGACAAAATAAAGCTAAGAGGTGTTGCATAGAGAAACAAACCTCGAGCTCGTCGTGGATGGAGGGAAAGCCCTCACGTGTGATTGCCATAAATAGTTCCAATTCCTCCGCCGGTATGACATTTTCCAGTTGATCCAAAATCAGACGATGACTGGCGGAGGTGCAGGTGGTGGTAGCAGTTGAGTCCGCCGCATCTCCGATAGCCGAAGTGGCCACATAGGCACCATCAAAACGAGGCATGACTACGGGGACGAGAAATATACAACACGCTCTTATAGTCAAAAGGTCTGAAAAATGAACAACACAAAACTGTGAACATACATTTACGAATTGGGAGCAAAATTGCAGCAATTCCAGAAATACTTGTTAGGAGCCTTCCTAACAGACTTATTCGCATGCAACCCGGGCGAGACGCTCTCACGCCATGCTATCGGTCCGCCCACACACAAGGACCAGCACGAACGCGAGGCCTTTAAGGAGCCCACACCACACGAGGCTGCCGGATAGGGCATCAACCAATAGGGATGAACCAATCGGATTGCCAATCGAGTTGCTACTTGCTCGATGGCAGAATCTAATTGGTCTGATCTTATAACGCTTGCTTGCTTAAATACCCCTACCAGGTACGCAATAAAGAATACCTTTCTTGCGTCCTTGTTCTCCTTGGGGGACTGAAACAAAGCGTCTGGGACTGGTAGAAACCTTGGCTTTTGATAGCACTACAAAAGTGCTGCGTAGAAAATGCACAGGCGTCTGACAACATGCATAAAATGTCTACAAAACTGCCCCCCCCAGTCACATAAAAAACCAACTTTCCTCATAATCTGGTTGTAACGGGGACGAAAAATGCGCTAGTCATTGAAGGCACGCTTTTCAAACTCTCTGCTGCTAGCTAAATATGTTGATTGACGAAGGAGTCGGGTCGAAGGCAGACCAGCGCCACCAATACATTTGAATTGGCCATACAACAACGCTCTTTAACGGACACTTTAGCGTTCTTTTAATGTAGACAGCAGGTAGGGGCACACGTACGGGCTTTAAAGTCCTCTCTGGACAGGGCGTAAGTCGGTGGTAGATCGGTTGACCAGTTGGTCCTAAAAGACAAAAAAGAGAAAGACGCCACATGAGGAGGAGGAGGAGGAGGAGGAGCAGACTGAATTA